ATCTTTAATTTGAGAAAAACTTCACAACTGTAGTATTCCTATGTGGTTTTAAAATCAATATTGTAGGTGGTAGGTGAAGTGATGAATCAAGGTAGATTTTAGTGACATTTTTACATTTCATTACCTTCTGGATAGAATCTATGTTTTGGGAAAGCATTTGGGCACACGCCCATTTTAAGTAAGATAGCAGCCCTACTAAAGGCAACTCTACTGAGGGACACCACTTGTCACCTTGACAGGGACACTGAGCCCTTGACCACTCCTGCTGGATGCAGCCATTCAGCAATCCTCATCCACTGAGCAGTGCATCCATCAAGTCTATGTCTCTGCAATTTGTAGAGAGGGATGTGGTGGGGGCTGTGTCAAAGGTCTTGCAAGGTCCAGCAGATAACATCTGCAGTTCTTCCCTTGCCTTCAGCTCTACTGTTACAGAAAAAAATAGCAGATAATTCAGGTTGGTTTGAATTATGTTGTTCCACAGCCTCTCTGACTTCTTTGTCCCTACTGGTGTAGTCCACATAGCACTCAAGTCATGATTTTGGCACTTCCTCGTGCACAGAAATTCTGTGCTATGGCCAGTAACGTAATCACACCCTTAGCAGGAGCATAGGAATAGAAAGTGAGAGAATAATGTAAGAAGTGTGAGATGAATCTAACTGAAAAGTCTAATTGCAGATTTATTCCTGCCTTTGAAAGCTGTTTGGGCCTGACATATATCTGGTACTCAAAGATGTAGGAGATTTATCCTAGAAGTCCATTACTGCAATAAAATGGTGGTGGAGCTGGTGTTGTGTGAGAACTGCCTGCAGTATGAAATTTTGGAGAACAACACAAGAACAGCATAAATACTTGGTCTGCTCTGAATGACTTGAAGGGATTTGCTGTCTCAGCAGGAATTTCTACCTCAGATTCTCTGAGGCAATTCATAGTGACCTAAAACCCTCTGGCAAAATTTGTGTCTCCAAACAAGGCCTGGTGTAATTGTCATTTGCATTACCATTCACTTTGGCAGAAAGCTGTAAACTCTGTGTATGAATGGAATGAGTGGAATATATTTGTTCAAGAGGTTTCAGTGGGCAAATACCAAGTGTGGGTGACTTTGGCAGGCGGCTCATTCCCTGGTCATTTGACTGGGCAGAACTGGTTGAGTCAGGTTGATTAGCTGTCAGGCATGAATTACAGCTGGCTAATGTTCTCCCTTTCTCAGTTCTTCAGGAAGCAGAGGTAATGCTGATGAGTGGATAGATTGACATTAAAGCTTTGTGCTGATAGCTAGCCAAATTGAGACTACAGTGAAAAAGAAACCAGCATTCCAAATTTCCATGCATTGCTCAGCCATGCCTATGTTTTTCCAAATAAGTGTACCTTTTTCTATTCCATGGGATATTTTATTGATATAGACAACTTCTAAGTTGAAGAAACACTAGGGTGACAAACTATGAAGCCTTTCAAAAAGTCATATGGACCTCTATGTTTGGTGGACAACTGTAAGAATTCCATTTGTGTATTAAGCGAATTTTTGAGGGAGGTTTCTCTTGTCTGGAAGAGTATTAGGCTTGTATACCTTTCAAGAAAAAAAATGTGCTGTGGATGTTTTAAATACCTTGTGGGTTTTTTGAGGAAATAATATCTTTATTATCCTTTCAGTGATGACATTTAAGTATAAACTCACAGCTAGCTTCGTCCAAAAGATCTGTTTTTAGACTTCATAATTACTTAACTCAAATGGGTATGAATTGTCCAATTATTTGAACATGTTCATGCATAGCTTGAGATACTGGAAGGTTTTTGTTTTCCTACTGAAGAACATGAGTGAGGTACTCAGAAAAGCAGGCTGAGCTTTGCTAAGGATCTATCTTCAAACCATGTTGATTCATATGCACAGAGCTTTCCAGACTCATCTGGAGCAGCTCCTGTTCTTCAAGAACAGAGAAAGATTACTCACCATACCACATCAGATCTTTAGAATATGTCATATTTATCTTTGATCTTTGAACCCAGGAGCTTCTGACACCTCACAAGGAGATGAAACATCTTTATGATGCAGCCAGTCAGTTACGAGGAATCTTCTTGTTGGTATTGTCTGGGATGATGTCACTTGGCTGGTCAGCTTGTGCCTCCAGGTGAAAGATTTTCTTGCACTTTCTTCAACACCCATCATGATGCATGTTTATACTGGTCGAGAAACTGTCTAGTTTCTATTACAACTGCAAACACAGTTCCTTGCATCTGAACATTGGGACAGCAAAACTCAACAGCCAAATGCAGGATGGACGGGGTAATATTACGGTGTAATATTTCCTTTGGTTCTGTCATTTGGTTCTGTTCTTTTGTTTTTATTAGCCTTTATTGTCCATTTGATTGTCAGTAGCACCTGATGCTATTTTGCTTGTATTTGGCTGAGAATGAAGGTGTACTTTAAATTACAGACTAGCAGAGTCCATGCTTTCAGTGGCCACAGACTGTAGCTGTTCTGTGATAGCCCACAAGATACCTGCTTCAGGCTGAGTCCTGATCTTCATCAAATGCAATTTGAGATTAAGCTTCGCCAGAGAAAAAACTTTCAGGAAACAAAAATCAAATTATTTTTTTCTTCAGCCAAAGCCTACTCTCCAGGCTTGTCCTTGGATTTATTGGTGTCATCTTCCAAAGTGAAGCCTTGTATGTATTTACAAAGATTTATAGATATATGTTTGTTTGGTAATTAGATTTTGCCAGGGACAAAATGCTGCTTTTGACAGGTGCCACACACATCAGGCATCTCAGTATGCAGCAGGTCATATGTTCTTGAGCTGAGCTTGTTTAGCCTGGAGAAAAAGAGGTTTAGGGGTGACATTGTTCTTTATATGTACTTGAAAGGAGATTGTAGCCAGTTGGATTCTGGTCTCTTCTTCGGTGCCTCCAGAACCCAGGCCCTGCTGCCTCCTGTTACGATTGTCTCCTGTAGCACTGCCATTGTGTAGCTCCCTGTCTCCCCTCCTCCCCACACACGTGGTTTTCCCCTTTGAAATCACTGCACTGCTGCTGTTTTGTACCAGCTAGGAGACACTGCCTGGTGCCCATGTGCTGTGTGCCCCGTTCCCATGGTGCCAACAGCCAGAGGCTGCTGCAGGTGATGGGCTAACAGAATGCTGCTGGAACCAGCACTGGTCCAAAGGTGAGATCCTGACTTCAGGCAAAATGCCCATTGATGTCAGCAAAGTCAGGATCTTACTCAGAGCAAGCAGTCCAGAGGCTGAAATTGGGAAGCTCTCTCAAGATGTCTCTCTGATATTCCTTTGCACTGATATGTATTTTATTTTTCATTTTATTCTCTACAAAGCTCAGTAAGAAGCAGCCTTCTGTCCCATGAAACTTTTCAACATGCACAAAGCATTTGAAAGCAGCTGTGAGTGGAATGAAGTACTAGAAACAGAAGTAAAATAAATTTTACAAAAAACCCTTAGGGTAAGCCAGGTATGAAAAGAAGTTCAGAAATTTTCATTTACTGTCCAGCAGATCTGTAACAACTACAGCAGGCAGTAGAACTGAGAAACAAATAGATAGTTAAAGTCATTAGGGGGTACCAGCATTATTTCTTTAGAGAAGAAATTTTTACAGAACAGCTTGTGAACATGTGCATAAGTATAATCAGTATAGTGCACTTGAATTTTCAAAAGGTTTTAATGGGATTGTCAATAGTTTCTAAAGAACCAAAGATGTCTTGTGATCAGAAGGAAAAACTTCTTGTTGATTAATAACTAGAAAGCAATAAAAAGATATGATTTGTTTTGTGGTGGAGAAAGGTTTTCTGAGAAGTCCCTTAAGGATCTTTGTTGGAACATGTGCTATTTAACTGTTTCCATAATAACCTAGAAAATACCTAATATACTGCTAATAGAAAAGTATTCAAGGCAGGAAAAACGAAAAGCTACAAGTCTACAAGGACTTTCAGAAGGCTTCTAATTTACTCTTTATTGGATGAAAAACTGATTAGTTGAGTTTCCATCACTATGTGCTAACTATGTCCACAAAACCCCACAGATTATATAAATTTGTATATTGATGAGCTCCAAATTAAGCAATCATGAAAGCAAATTAGTAGAAGTTAGAGTAGTCAGAAGTCACCACTAAATCTGCCTTCATATAGAATGCCATATAGAGTTCTGACTACATTTGAGAAAGGACTTCATAGTAGGTGAAAAGGTATAGAGAAAAGCAGCAGAAATTATCAAACACATAAGTATGACTTCTGTAAAATGAGAGACTAGACAAACTCGTATTTTCTGTCTGATTAGAGACCTCTGCTGGAGTAGTATAAAGTCAGGATTGGTATGGTGAAGTTGGTTAAGGAACGGTTACTGGCAAATTCTCATAATTCAAAGCCAAGGGAAAGATTATGTCACCATACCTAAAATAGAAGTACTTTTTAATCAATTTAAATCAATGTGTAACAATGTTGCAAAACTCCCAGCCATTGGATCTTGCAAAGACTAAAACCAGAAGTGAACTCAAGAGCAAACTGAACATAATCACAAAGGTTAGGTTCATTGTTTGCTCTTAAAATGAGGGGCAGACCTCCAAACTTGCTCTTCCCTCCTAAGCATTCTTAGGGCACGTGTTGATATCAATTGTCATTAAAAAGGGTAGGAAGGGAGTTGAGAAGAGCTATAATAATTGCTGTTAGCATCTGTTTCTCCAGTTGTATCAGGAAGCAAATTCAATGCGAACTGGTTTAGTCTGTCTGCTGTGATACAGAAAATAAGTATTTATTTCACTTACCTTTCTTTTTTTTTTTTCTTGTCCCTGCTCTTTCAATAGACACACCTTTATTTTTCTTTAAATAGTCTTTATCAAGCTGAGTGTTTGATTTATATGTATTTTGTAATACTGTTTTGCACCTTGTCACCTTTGCTGTTTGTACACTGGTACAAAATGTCTTTAGTTACAGATTATGTGAAAGGGCTGTTCTGGTCTTTCTTCTTTTCACATTTCAATTTTCTCTCTCCTTGCTTCTGTAGATGACCAAACCCCCAGTGGAGCCATCCAGCCAAATGTGCCTATTGCCACAACCAGGCCAGTCAGATGGAATACCTCAAGTCAGCCTCCGATTAACAGACAGTGCTTCATGTGGGAAGGAGGTGGACTTAGCAGATGAAATCTCCTTTGTTAACAATGATGTGTTTTTCTCCAGGTTAGTGTTCTTTTTTTTTTTTTTTTTTTTTTCTTTGTGTTTTTCCCTTTTTTTGTTTTGTATCTGCATCTCTGGCTCTGGGCATTTTGAACATTTACACAGGATACTGGGGTGTAAGATAAATTAATGTGCCTTTTCTGGTTGAATCCACACACTACAAGGCCAGCTGTGTTCTTTGGTGTGCCTCTCCAACATAAAACTTCAAGCATATGAAGGTAACCTGCTTGGAGAAGGAGTGCAGGTGGACAGGTCTGATCTACAGACAGGCAGTAGAAATTACACCAAGCACAAGATGCAACTAAAATGTGTCTCTTGAATAATCAAGTGTATGTGATCTTCCCAGTTTAAGTCTTAACAGATGGCTGACTTTATTCTCACTCTTAAATCCAAAAAGGAAGGGGCTTTTGAAGGGTTTTCTCTTTCTGGCAAAAGTTATGCTACTGTTAGTACTACTCCATTCAGACAAGAATAGAAGAGTATGTGTAGAATATCTATACAAGTATCTTTGTGAATTTATCTATGAGAGTCTGTCAGTGTAAAGCATCTATAAAAGTATCTATCTAAAAAAATGTTTTGAGTTTTGATTGCTGGCAGATTGTCTGGTAGGTGAACAGGTAATGGGCATTTTGCTTTCTTGTAAAATCCTTCCCTGCACATCAGGCTGAGCCAGGATCTCTTCATTATCCTCAGGATATTGAATTGAGTCTCTCTCTTCTTCTGTGTAGTGCAGCACATGAGGGATTCAGGTTACTGTGGGAAATAGAGTGTGCTACCAAAATATGGAATTGGCCTGATGTGGGAAATAGTGCTATTCACATGTAATGAAACAGAACACTGCAGTGTCCCAGCATACCAACCAGGAACACAAAGCAGAGGCAGTGCTGCCAGACACGTAACTGAGTGACTTCACTGTGTAAGCAGGAGATGTGTGCTATTCTCAGCACCAGAGCAGACAGACAGTTTATGAGACCAGTTAGCAAATTATGCACTAACACCAGATTTTGGGCATAGTAATGGTGGTGAAGCATAGATGTTGAATTTGGTTTCTAGCCCTTGGCAGGCACACTTGCTCTTTAACTCTTAGCTATGTTAGCTGTGTGTTTCACTCTCCCCAAGCTTCCCTAAAAATTCCTGCAGCCAGAACACATCAAGTTTGTTTACATGGCTTCATCAGTCCAGCTCCTTTTCACTGAGATGATTTAGAAATCAATGGTCAGAGCAGGTCAGCTGGCAAATTGGAGAAGGCAATACAGTTCTAGCAGCTAGACAGGGCCAGGCAGGTGGGGCTGTGGCAGAAGTTCCAACCTCTTGTGTTGATATGCTGGAGCCTGGCAGAGAATGTGCCTGTACTGTTATGTGTTCCAAGGTGTAAAGAGAAATGAAGTGCCCAAGGGCTGAAAAAAAGAACTGCCAGGTCTCATGTCTGGGAAGGTGTGTGTGACTGATGTACTTCATGAAGTAGCCCAACAAACTTCCTTTATTTTAAGAGAACAGTCTCCAAGCAAAGTAATTATTTGCTGTAGGGAATTCTGCTTTCCTGTCAATGTGTAATTACATAGAAGAGTACTGCTGAAGTACGGGACAGTTGGGCCAGTGCTGGCACAAGACATTAAGCACCAAATGAAATGTGTTTGTAACTAGGCAGAAGCCTGATCTTCATGCTCGGGCCTTGGATTGAAAGATGTCTGTGTATCTGATTTTATCTGAGAAATTAAAGAACTGTAGAAATTAATTCTCTTGTAATTCCATTTTGTTCAAGAATGCCCTAGTTTTCTATCCTGCCACACTTCTGTACATATTTACCTAATTGCATTGAATATCTATGCTGCTGTTGCTTCTGGTACTTTTTTGTCAGTGATCTACTGCTGCTGCTGAAGGAGGAGTAAATAGTGCTTGCTGTTCTCTTCCCAGCTTCAGGCTGGCAAGTTGTTGGGCAGGATGGGATGGAGAGAAGGCTCTGGACTAGGAGAAGAGCAGAGAGGTATCTAGCACACCTAACACTCTTGGGGGACACCTGTCTGTGCAACGGGCACAAACCTTGATTCCCTGGCATCACTGTAGAGCTCTGATATATCAGGAATGGTTTTAAACGTGCTTTTGGCAGCCTTGTGACACTGCCATGTAATTTAAGCCCACAATGAAGTATTACCTGGTGTTACTTCAGTGCAAGGCTATTATTAGGAGTTTTCACCTTTTCCAGCAGGAGGACTCTGGCATCTGACCTAGATTACAAAGTGCTTTGCAAACACACTGCTATTCTTGTTAGGGGGTTTTGTGTCACAAGGTACCAACAGTTCTAAAATAAATCTTATCATTAATTATGTGTATTTACCAGATAAGTTTTAGTGAAACTACTGTATGTGCTCAACTATGATATGATCTTTGTTAGAAAAGAATAAAGGTTGTTTTTGGCAGTAATAATCATTTGCTGTTTCATGAAAACACCTATGGTTTGTTCCCTTTCCATGCTCAGATACCATGATATGGGTGGATTAGAAAAGGATAAAGGGCAGAATTCTACTTCTAGCAGCTTTAGAAGTGTAACAGTGAAGAAATAACCACACACACTAAGCCCCTAAGGCTCCCTCCAGTAAAGGATTGCAATCTTCAGTAAATTTTCCATCAGTTTGATTTGACACTAGAGCCTTAAGGGAGAAATGAAGAGACTTCTGGTTGATTAGTGATTTTTAATACTATTTAAAATGCCTCTTAATATGTGTCTTCATACAGTTGTCCTTAAAACGAAGATCCACTTATTAAGTAGCAACTGCAGTTGTGACTATGTCTTCTATAATGACTTACCATTTTTTAAAAATACTTAGAGTTATGTTATGCCTCCTTACAGGTATGATATTCCTCATTGCAGGAATTTTTTGAAGGTGCTGCTGTCATCTGAAATATGCAATACATCAGTTGGAGTCAAAACTTTGCAGAGCATAAAATCTGTATCACCTTCTGTTCACAACAGTTATCTTAAGCAAATGTTAAAAATTATGTTCTTTTTTTCTGAACAAAAGAGGTGGATTAACTCTATGTACCTGTAGTCCCCACTAGCACATAATGCATGTGTTGTTTTGAAAATTGCCTCATTATTATAGCTGTATGCCAAGGGCAAACTGCTAATTATGCAGCAGCAAAAAAGCATACCTGTAATGCAGCTCTTGAGTAAATCCAAAAACAGTGGAGAAGGAAAGAGACAAAGGAAGGGTCAGGAGAGACTAGTCCTCTTAATAAATTATTAAAGTCTTTAGGCAGTATGCATCCTGTGAATCTCATCTCATTTTTGCAAGAGTTCCTGTGCAGAGCTTGAGGGCAGCCAAACCTCCAGAGCCTGGGAACCACACACGTCCTTTGTCTTTACCTGGATGAGAGCCACAAGACACACACTGCAAACTCAGGAGCTGGGGAAGGCAACAACTTTTGGACTGGAGAGTGGGCTGGAGGGAATGGGCCACCCTGGGGGCTTACCAGACCTCCACGGAGAGGGGTCTGGAATGGGCCTGCAGCTCTGTGAAGCTGAGAGTCCCTCTTTGGGTCCCTCTTTCTTTCTCTGTCTAGAAGGAAAAAGTCTGCTCAGAGCTCCAGTTCATACATAACTGCAGTAGTAATTGGCCTGATTTTGAATAAATTTAGAGGTACTAAAACTTCAAATAACTGCTTCAAATAATATATTCAAATGGCTTTTACTTAAGGGTTAGTATATTATGATTTACATGGATACAAAGGTAGGAGGGCCTCTTGCAAGCAATTAATTCTCTCGCCTTTTGTGCTAAACTTTGTATACAAGTAAAGAGAAGAGAGTCTTCGGAGAGGAGGGAAAATGCTTCCTGCAGTCAAAATATGAAGCAGGGGATTGAGGATGATGAGCATAAATGTCTTTCCTGATACTGGCTCAGAGGTGCAAGCTGTCTACAGACTTTGGTTGACGCTATGCTGGATCTTTTGTCCAGGAAAGGGTGCTGAAATATGCATTGCTGTTGTACATATCTATTCTAGCATTTGATAGAGCTGCATCTCTTTGCACCCCTTGAACTGGTTTGAAGAAGAATTCCTCAGTGGGAGAGCATCCTGCTGTTTGTGGTGCTGTTAGGCTCTGTACATGGAAATATCAAAGGAGTGAGCTGAGTACCCATCCTTGCCTAGCAGTGGTTGGGTGCTGGGGAATGGGTGCCATGTATGGCAGACAGACTTTATGAAAAACACGGTGCAGCTCCTCAGAGCCACAGCAGTAGTTCAGTAAGCCAGCCTTCTGTATTTTGTAGCCACGTCTTTGTGTGCTAGAGATCACAAATTCCTGTTTGTGACTGCCATCACAGCTACAATAAGATTTGCCAACAGAGATAATGCTGTGCTGGCTTTCTAACACGTGCGTGTTCTCAAAGAAGTTTGTTTACATCCTTTTGTTCACAAAAATCCTTATATCTGGCCTGTGTCCTGAAAATAGAGGAACCACATGCCTAGTAGCGTGGTAGCATCCCTAAAATAAAGGGTTGGTTAATGTACCCTGCTGTGCCTTCTTAATGACACTGTGTATTTTCACTGCTAGTTATTGAGGTATGAAAACATACATATATTTGTACACTGAGAAGTTTGTGCTTACTGTAAACACTTTCCCTGTTTATTGGCTTTCCTCTTAGCAGCTGAGGTTTAAAACCAAGGCAAGCCAAAACTTATCATTAGTCTCTGGCATGTGATAAGAATTGGTCTGTTCTTGCCAGAACAAATCAAACAGGGGGTCTAGTGTTGTTTGCTTAGCTGACTATTTTTGTTTAGGTTTGGGTTTTTTTTGTTTTTGAAGTCCGTCATGCCAGTACATTCAGTCCCCATCAAAAGTAATAATTTGCCTTACCACTGAGGAGCCTTGCTGCCAGGTTTACATAAGGAATTGCAGCCAGGCAGCAGGCAGGGCTGCCCTCCAACAGTCATGGATTCTTCAAGAAACGATTCAAGAAAGGGGTAAAGGTCTGGAACGTTGGTAGGAGGTGGTAAGCACAGTTGCC